AGCTGTGCCCCGCTACGTATTGTCTTACTTCTTATCACATTAGTTCCCCTTATACGCAATGCCAAGGTCAGGTGTGAACACTCTGCCTGTAGTTATGGAGAAGGAGACGAATGGCTCGTTCCTGTAGACATCCCTATCAGGGATGCTTATCATACCGCACTGAGGAACTACCAAGGGACACTGTCTATGGCAATAGGCGGTATCACTAGTTTTATGTTTTTCTCCATTGCCTTTCATGCTGAAAACGCGCTCTCATATGCAGTAAGTGGATACAATTCATTACATTCAGAAACTGTCTCGGCCCATTTGTACATTGATATTCTTATCTCGCTCCAGCACAACTTAGATTTATGGCTGAAAAGTCCGACATACATCTAGTAAAAAAGTAAAGTAAATGTATCCCTGTAACAGGCCGTGGAGGCCATAGGGTTGTGAGATGTTGAGGTTCCCACATTTTCAAGATAATCGGCTCATAGATGGCGGTAAGGTTGTCAGCCCTAAGCGCCGGCCACCCTTTATCACCAAGACATTCCAAGAATATTCCTGGTACTCATTTCTGTTAGAGGCTGAGTCGACCCGAGGGCCATAGTGCGGCTGGAGCGATTAGGTCAATTGAAAAAATCCAATGACCTCATCTGGACTTGATCCTGCGACTTTCCAGCTTGCAGCATAGTGCCTCATAGGTCTATAACTACTTAATGGAACTTGAAAGCACTAGTAAAGGAAATCACATTTCTTGTACATAATCCTCAAAAAGAAACTCCCATTAACTAATAATTAAGAAACGAAGTCAAAATGTAAGTGAATGCATAAAAACATAATATTCAGAAGTTTAAATAAAAAAAGATTGAGCGCATGCGTATTCGGGCAACAACATCGTTTCTATTCCGAAACCTATATTCAATACCTCACGAAGGGACTCGTGAATCTGCAATTGAATTTGCATATTACGTTAATAATTCAGCCTTATGATTAATAATTAATAATTCTGACATAGCAATAAAGAAGTTTTCAAAAAATTTGACCAAGAGGCAACAACTAACCTAAATGTAAGTTAGGTTTTTATAGATTTCAATTATAGAGAAGGAAAAAACCTTTCATTTTGGAATTTAAATCCATATATTATATGTTGGTATTTATTTCATTGTACACTTATTGTGAAGGTTACAAACTCGACTACAAATTCACCGCAATGGAATGAATTGTTTTAATTAATTTTAATTTTATAACTTTGATGGAGATTTTATAAATTCAAAGAATTATATGTGTTTATATAAGTGATGTTCCTGTCCTAATGTGCACACATTCAACGGTCAATTCAGTTGCATCGGCTGTTCAAAATCTGAGGGCGTTTTATGACTGATTCAGTAGTTTTGTAAATTTGTAAAAAATTGTATTGCTTTTCTATCAGTTTGAAGTACGTGACTATGATCTGTACGTTCTGTGTATCAAGCGGATAGCAATCCAGATA